TCAAAGTGTCGTTTTTCTTTATATTAGAGCGAAATATTTGCAATGACCATAAGATAAATACATGAATGCATAATTAATAGTAATGACAAAGGTTTTTGCAGTAATTACAAAATTATTTTAATTAATATTTGTTAAGTCGTTTCAACAATTATGTCTCAGTGACAATTTTGAAGTTAATGACCCAGTTTAAAACAGGTTCATTCGTTGACTTTCCCAGTAACATTTACTCAGTAAGAATTTAATGAGAAGAAATGCGATTTCTTCTCTCGAGAGAGAACAAATTCCAACAATTAAACGAAGAGCATTTTGCAAAACATTTATAAGATAACAGCTGATTCGTCAAAACAACTTTGTTGATGAAGTCTATTTGTTTTTAAATTTTTATTACAAAAAATGAATAATAAAAAAACATAAACCGTTGCATTATATGGCTGGAAAACCACAAGTGGCTATCGTTAGAGCACTCCAGTATTTAAATGTGAATAGATCTTTTGTGTCTCGTACCATTGCTCGTTACCGTGATACTGGTAGCATAGCCCGACGTCAAGGAAATGGACGGAAGAAAACATCAACATCACCTGAAATGGTTCGAAAAGTAAAGAAGTGACATGATCGAAACCCGCGTCGCAATTGCCGGTAAATATTGAAAAATGAGCTTGGGGTAAAGCCATTGAAATTCCAAAAAGTGCAAATAGACTCAAAAAAGCTTAGGAGTTGTTTCGCATGGCCGAAAGTGGTGAACTACCGAATTCGATTGTTGAACTACCGTTGTCCAGCAATTTGTAATCAAACAAAATGATCGTGTTTACTTGCCAAAGAGGTCGGTTAAAAATGTGCAGCTTCGGTTGGCCACCAGAACTCAAGCGCCGGCCAAGGTGATGGTGTGGGCCGCCATAACAGTCAATGTTAGATTTCCGCTCGTATAAATCGACCGTTGCAACAGAATAAATGCGTAATATTATCGCGAAAATATTCTGGATGGTGAATTAAAGTCTTGGACACAAACAAACATTTTGGCCGCAGACCTTGGACATTCCAACAGGACTCAACACAATCGCACTCAGCACGTGCCACCCAAGAATGGTTACGAAATGAGGTTTCCGCTAGCACACAATGGTCACCAAAATCTCTGGATACCAATCCGTTGGACTATTGTGTCTGAAGTATTTTGGAAAGCAAGATTGGCACTAAAAAATACCAAAGTGTCGATCACCTCAAGCAAGCGCTTCGCCGAGAATGGGCCAAAATTCCGCAGAAGATCATAATAAGTGCCAAAGGTGACAAATTATAACAAATCTAAACTTTTTCTAAAATTTGATGCTATTTCCGACATTTTTTGCTTTCATTCAATAAAATTAAAAAGTTTCAGTTTTTTTATCTCACCCTGTCATCTTCACAAAAGATGAAACATTTGGATTTGTGAAATTTAAAGAGAGTTGGATGTTAATTTCGCTTTCTTTGAGCGTTTTGGCTATTCAAAAATGTGACCCTTTGTGGGAGGTACCAGAAGGAGTTGACTGATATATTACATCTTAATTAAAATATTGTGATGTTTGTAATATAAAGGCAATCTGACACATCATATTTTATAAAAGTAATATTTATTCAAAATGTTGACCCTTTGTGGGGGAGGTACTTGATGGAGAGGACCGATATTGTTAATTTTCGCACTCATAAAGATATTAGGATTTACAAAGTTGGAGTAAAATCGGGTTATCCCTTCTCTTTCTATGCTGCATATTATTTTCTTTGAAAATGTTGACATTGTGCGCGCGATAACTCTCGAAGGGAGTATCCGATTTGATCCAAACTTGGTACATCGTAATATTATTATCAAACTTAGATCGAGTTCGGCAATATCCGTCCACTCCTTCTGGTACCTCCCCGCAAAATGTCGAAATTTTCAAAGAAAATATTGTATTGCACAGAAAGAGAAAAGATGATCCGATTTTGCTCCAATTTTGCAAATCATAATATTTGCATCAGTGCTAGGTTAGGTGCAAAAAGTAACAATATCGGTCCACTCCGTCAAGTACCTCCCCCACAAAGCATCAAAATTCTGAATAATTACAACTCTTATAAAATGTGATATAAGAATCCGATTGTCTTCAAATTTCACACATCCCAATATTTTTATCACCCCAAGGTCTGGTGTTAAGATGGAATATATCGGTCTGCTCCTTCTGGTACCTCCCCAAACAAAAGGCCGATATTTTCAAAAAATATATATTTTCTGCACAGAAAGTGAAACGATAATCCGATTTTGTTCCAACTTTGCAAGTATTATTATTTGTGTTAGTGCTAGGTCAGGTGCGAAAATGGAAAATATCGGTCCACTCCATCAAATACCTCCCCCACAAAGGGTCAAAATTTTGAATAATTATAACTCTTATAAAATGTGATCTAAGAGACTGATTGTCTTCAAATTTCACACATCACAATATTTTTATTAACCTAAGGTCTGGTGTTAAGAGTGAATACATCGGTCCATTCCTTTTGGTACCTCCTCCACAAAAGGTCGAAATTAAAAAAAAAATATGTATATAAAATATATTTTTTGCACAGAAAAAGAAACGATTATCCGATTTTTCTCTAACCTTACAAACCCTAATATTTGTGTCAGTCCTAGGTCAGGTGCTAAAATGGACAGCATCGGTCCACTCCATCAAGTACCTCACCCACAAAGGGTCAACATTTTGAATAATTATAACTCTTATAAAATGTGATGTAAGGGTCCGAGAGTCTTCAAATTTCACACATTCCAATATTTTCATAAACCCAAGATCTGGTGTTGACATGGAATGTATCGGTCCACTCCTTCTGGTACCTCCCCCACAAAGTGTCGAAATTTTAAATATCCATGAAGCTCATAAAACGCCAAATTAACATCCGATTCCATTTACACTTGGCACATCTCAATATTTCCATCAACACAAGATCTGTTATAAAGGTGGTATAGATCGAACCATTTCTTCTGGTACCCCTCCCATACATAGGGATCAAGATTTTGAAAAACAAAGCGCTCAAATAAAGCGAAATAAGCATCCAACTCTCTTCAAATTTCACACATACAAATATTTTTGCCAACACAAGATCTGTTGTGAAGTTGATATATATCTGCGAACCCCTTCCGGTACTTCACCCACAAAGGGTCACAATTTTCAATAATTTTATCTGTCATAACTTTCGAAACAATTTAGCATTTCTTTACTACTTGCTATGCTCAAATATTTCTCTCAATAAGAAGCCTGATATGATTATGAAATTTATCGGAATTTATGATTTCGCATAAAATTGGAAATAAATATCCTTTCTTGTAATTTTGCCCAATATTTCGCTCAATATTTTTTATTTGTATCAGATGAAGTATAAAAATGGAATATTTCGGTGGACTCTATCTGGTACATCACGCACGTTTTAACATTTTCTGAAAATTATTACATATCTCATATAAAGTGAAGGAGTTAGTCGATATAATCCATACCAGGAACGTCGGAATATTTATATATACGATACGAAATGGACAATATTGGTCCATTCCTTCGGAACCTGCTCCATAGTGGTCCAAACGTTTGAATAATTGTAACACTAGTCAAATATATTTTGATTATTTAATCGAACATAGGCTGAGGGTATATATCTGTCGGCAATACCGACTGATACTTTTTAACTTGTTTATCTCACCCTGTATATCTCCCATATAACGGCACCACTCTATATTCAGTATTTTCATGATTTTAGCTACATTTTTCAATGTAATTGTCTAAAATCCGTACTAGAAGTCCTCTTTAAGCATTTTACCCCCCGGAAGAGAAATGTCTATATAGGTCCACAATATCATATAGCCCACATACAACGGTATGCCCTGATATTCGATATTTTTACGATTTTAGAGACATTATTCGCCGGAATTGTTTCAAAGTTCGTATTTAGAGTTCGTAATAGGAACTACAATCTATGCCATAAAATGCAAGTTCAGGTCTTCGTATATGGGGGATATACCGGTACCTCCTTATATTCTGTACCATCTTTATAACCATTCTTGTGTTGATGAAAATACTGAATTGTCGAATGTTAATTTCGCATTTTATGAGCTTCATGGATACTCAAAATTTTGACCTTTTGTGGGGGAGGTACTTGATGATCTATATTGTCCATTTTCGCACTTATAAAGATATTAGGATTTACAAAATTGAAGCAAAATCGGGTTATCCCTTCTCTTTCTGGGTAGTATATTATTTTTATTATTTTTTTTTTATTTTATTTTGATATTTTGTGGGGGGAGGTACCAGAAGGAGTTTGAAAACGATCTAAGTTTTACAATAATATTACCAAGTTTGGTTCAAATCGAATACTCCCTTCGAGAGTTATTTTGCGCACCAGCCATACAGACAGATGGACGGACGGACGACATCGCTAATTGGTCCAAAGAGACCTAGGGTCTAAAACCTTTATTTCGATGAAGTACGTTTTGGCCGTATCAAATTATATATACCCTCTATAGTCATATGGCACAGGATATAAAAAATGGATATGCCCCCGATTTTCGATTGCCGTCTCATTTTTTTTTTTTTTTTTTTTTTTTTTTTTACACATCAGATAACCTCTTTGAGTAAAAGACTAAGTTACAGCCCGTTCAGCCTTTGCCCCCATACCATGATTAAGGATATTATCTCGATTTATGTGTTTAATCCTCCCAAATTGACTTAAAATCCAATGTTGTATCGAAAGATCTGCTGACTGGGATTTTATATCATTTCAAAGTAGTATAAACAAGTAGAATTTAGAAATCGGGTAGATTTAAAATGACTACTTTTAATTAGGCATTATTATCTTGGATTTTATGACTAAAAACGTCATTTGCAAAATTGGTTAATATCTGAATATAATCCGAAAATTTACAATTCCATTTATTCCGTTCTAAGATATCACTCAGAAAACTTATAATTTAACTATCACTTTATCAATATTTTTATTTCTTTCCTTATGATTTCTTACAGAACCGTGAACTTTGAACCCAAAGAGAAGGCAGCGCAAAGAAGAACCAAATCAAACTAACAAAATTAAACCAATACATTGGTAAAAATCACGCATGCAGAACATTAGCGAATACGTCATGCTAGCAAATCAATAATAGCAAGAGTTGATGATTGTGAGAGAAGGACGGACATTAAGCAAAACAAAAACCAACAACAACAATAATAATCAATAAAACAAAATAATAACAATACGAAGAAAAAAACCCAAAGCCGAAAGAGTTCTTATCAGTATAACGCCACGCTTCACGCATTCAAATATACGGGCGAAGTGCGTTTGCGGTGATATTTGAATGTGTTCGGCTTTTTGTTTTCTCATTTGCAAAACAGCAACAAAAAACACTAACATTTAATAACACATATTAATAAAATAATGAATTGCATTAATTGTTCAACGCCTTGAGAGGTACAACTGGAATCAAGTGGACGCAGGCTGTCATTTGACGACAAATCTTCGTGGAGTACAAAACAACGTTCGGAAAATAAGTTTCCTTACTGGTGCCGGTGTCCTAATCAATAGAATCATATTATCATACGATACGATTTTGGTTGTTGTTGCTCTGTTCTTTAATAGCTCCGAAAATAACCAGTGATTGATTGAATTGAAACGATTGCCGAGCGAGGGTGTTTTTTTTCTCCCCTCAACTCCACAACTCATCTCTTCAAGACGTAACACCACCCGAATGATTTCTTATTTAACAATTGTACATTGGATTCATTGAACAGTTGGTGTTGGGGTAGCACCACTGGTAGACATACTAAACGCCAGCAAATAAAGCGCATAAAAATACCCTCAAGTCGAACCAAATAAAGTGGGTCAACAATTTTGTTAGCGTTTTTGGAACGGGCACATTCAAACAACTTCAGCAAACCAGAAGCTAGTCAAACTACTAAAACTAACCATCGACCGGCAACAAGTGTTTCCAGCTACCACCACTACCCACTGCAAATCGAAGCAAAACTGTCTGCCTACTTACATTCAATTTTTTTCACATCAAAACTCTATTGCAAAAATCCAAAAAAAAAAATCACAGCGAGTTACAAAACTTTTTATTGCCATAGCTGGTCATTGAGCTATAGCTACTGTTACGACTATTAACAAATATTAGCAACGAAAAAAAAAACAAAAACAATACCAAAAAGATTACAACAAAAAGTGATACAATATTACAACACTTTTGTAAACCATATTTTTTTTCCTGCTGTCTAATCAAACAAAGCTCCGCCAGCCATCATGTTTAACGCGGTCCATTTAAAGTGTAAAAATATCTGGATGTGTCTGACATTAGCAGCTATGCTATTGCTCTTTGATGGATTGCCTCAGGTGTATGCCTTCAAAATGACGGTAAGTAATGCAATGAATAAAGATAAGAATGTGAAAAAAAAACAAGAATTTGGTCAGTTGCACCAAATGCACTTCTATAAATTATTTCGGAACTTTTTTTAATTAAAACTAATCACATTTAAATCTTACCTAGACGTTTTAAAATACTTTTATTTGCGCTTATTTATTGTTAGTTTTTATAAAAATAAACATTAAATTTTGTATAAAAAATAAACAAACGATTTTGCAACAACAGAATTTTTAATTGCTTACCTACTTTAAAACTAGTTACGAATTTTGTAATAACTACCACAGTCATGAATTTTAAATATTTACAAGAGTGGTAGACGTTTTGTGGGGTTTTTAAGTACATACCAGAGTCGTGATTTTTGAAAATCTTTTTATATACTTTAAACGTGGATTTAAAAAAGAATATTTTAGTACTTACCACATTGCATAATGATTGGAAATACTCCTTAGATACCTTAATCGTGGATCTAAGAAATATATATATTTTAGTACTTATCACATTTGTTTGTCATTGGAAATCCTCTTTAGATACTTTAATCGGAGATTTTTTAAAACATTTATTTTATACTTACCAGATGAGTTAAATTATTTTTAATACTTTTTAATTAGTCGTAGATTTTTTAAATATATTTCAATACCTACCAGATTGGTTCGTTTTTGAGAATCTCTCGAATTAATTAATACTCACCAGATTGGTTTATTATTGAAAATACATATTAGCTATTTACCAGATTGTTTTTTTTTTTAATACATTTCAATAAATACTCTTTTTGTGGACTTCAAAAAATTAATTTAAATACTTACCAGCTAATTAAGATTTTTAAAAATCTTTGAATACTTATCATACTTACTTATATGTATGAGAAATACATTTCAATACTTACCAGATTGCTTCGTTTACCAGATTGGCTTGTTATTAAAAATACTTTTCAATATTTACCATATTTGTGGATTTTTAAAAATATATTTTAATACTTACCAATAGTGGGCTTCTCTCTGGGATTCCCTACCTTTCGAACGCAAAATTCTTACATAAAAAGAAGTAAAAGTTGGCAAAATTGTGGAATTACGACTATTTTAATGTGAGAATAAAAAGAAAGCTTATTTTACTGGCTAAGGCATGGTAGAAGGATACAGGTAGACGCATCGACACAGCTGCTGAACTATCTAACCAATTTTTGAGTGAAAAATTATTCAAATTTATAAAAATTGTTAAAATACGCTCATTTTAATAAGCTCCCAGTGACGTTGTATAAGAAAACGTAATATTTCAAAAAAATTAAATTGTTGACATATCAATGTTCTTAAGCTTTGATGCATCTACCTGCATTCTTATACCATGGGCTCAAGTCATCGTAAACGAACAAGGACTCGTAGAGTGAACAAGTATCATTTAATGGTCAAAATCGAACTAAGCCGACCTAAAACTCCTCTGTTCTCTTACAAACATGCATGGTTGAAGAATACAGGTAGTCGCATCGACGCAGCTGCTGGGACAATGAACTGTCAAACCGATTTTGGAATTGAAAATCTTGATTGAAAAAGTATTGAAATTTATAAAAATTGTGGAAAAATGCACAACATTACAACCTCCGATTTGCGCCGTATAAGAAAAAATATAAAAATCTGCTTATTTTTGACAAAACACTTTAAAATTTTTGACATATCAATGATCTCAAACGTTGATGCATCTACCTATATTCTTGAAAATAAATTTTCATTCAACATTTTCAATTACAAAATTGGTTTGACAGCTCATGTCGACGCGTCTACCTATATTCTTCTACCATGAGTCATCGTAAACGAACAAAGACTCAAAGGGTGAACAAGTATCAATTATGGGCCAAAATCAAACTAAGTCGACCTGAAACTCCTCTATTCTCTTACAAAGAAGCCAGCCGATTACTTAAGCAAGTAAAAAAATTGTTCTCTGTGTTCTCACCTTTATTTTCGCCAACTTACCTGTAAACTAGGGTCTTTTCCAGTTAGAAATTAAAGAATTGGTCTTATCGATAATTGTCATAAGTTTGTCTGGTTACCCGAAAATTTGTAACAATTATTACTGAAAATGAACTGTAAACACAGAAGGCCTGCCTGGAATTGTCCAACAGCTTCTTTCTGGGTGAGCAAGGTAGTTTTATTATCCTTTCCCAGATAACTATGAAAAGTGAACAGAAGGAACTCATAACAAACATAACAATTTCTCACCATAGAAAGAATTGAATCACTCAAAAATCCGAAAAATAAAACAATAATTTTTCTGATTTCCAAAATAATATACAAACCAACAGAAGGAGCAGAAGCGATTTAACCAGCAAACTCTCAATGAAAGAACTGTTAAAATTTCTCTCTCGAATCGCTCTCTTTTGCAGCAATGTTGTGTTAACAGACGACTTCCAGTAACAATGTGCAAATTTTGTTACAAATTGTTGGCTAAACAGACACGCCTACATTATTGCAAACACTTGCAACATTTTTCTTCACCCGGTGATTAATTTTTTAGAAATCCCTTTAGAGAACAAAGTTTAAAAGGGGGAATGTCCCTCTTTTTGGTTCATTTCCTTTTTTATTTGAAAAAGCGTACATTTTTTCGTGCATTGCTTGTTTCGATAACGGACAAATGATTTTGTGTTGACATATCAGCTGGTTGCCTGCAGGTTTTTACAGGGAGCTCTCAAAATTTTGTTGAAAACAATTTTTAATAAATTTGATTAGTCATGGATTATTATGACATATTTTTGAATTCTTGCCGTACTGGTAATTTTTAAAAATACTTGTTTAATATCATGGTAATATTAAAAAAGTAAATTCATTTTAAATGAGCATTCCCATCTTTGCATTTTCTGTAATTTACCATGTCAAATTTCACAGCATAGAAAGTAGGTTCCCATCTCTGATTTGTGTATATACAATGGATTTATGAATATACATTTTGAGAATGAGATGTTGTCAAATGAATAATTTTGAAAAAAATAATAAAAAATATGACTGCATAACTTTACCTTCTTAATTCTACCATGTTACAACTTATATTTTATTTTTTGACGACCTCAAACGCAATATTTCAAAAAATACAAAACTGGGAAAGTATTCCTTTCAGTATTTGCAGTATTTTTCCAACGCCTGTAGTGAGATTCTCTATTATTACTTATATTATTTTACTAAATATAAATATATTTTTTTGCTCATCAATTAAATTTGTCGCAACATAACATAAACATTTCTATACATATACTTTTTATATGTTTTATCTAAGTGTGCTTAAAATATATTTGCTCTTAAGTATTTCGATACCTTCCGACCTAAATATATTTTTGAAAAGTAGGTCATCGCCAGCAAAATATAAATTCTAAAATATATTAAAATATATATTATAATTTTTATACAACAAAAAAAGTTTCTTATATTGTAAGATTACAATTGAGAATTTGGTGAATATTAGATACCATGGCAGAAGAATACAGGTAGATGCATCAACGGTTGGGAGCATTGATATGCCAAAAAGATTTAAATGTTTTTTTTCAAATAAAAGTAGATTTTTATATGTTTTCTTATGCTACGTCAGTCGGAGGCCATTATAATTCGCGCTTTTCAACAATTTTTACAAATTTAAATAGTTTTTCATTCAACATTTTCAATTCCAAAATTGGTTTGACAGTTCATTGTCCCAGCAGCTGTGTCGACGCGTCTACCTATATTCTTCTACCATGTTAGATATTAAATTTTTCTTTGTAAAACTAGTAGCATGTTTACATTAGAGCTTTCTCCCTGAAAATATTTTTTATTGCCCATGGTAGATGAGTGCAGGTAGATGCATCAACGCTTGGGAACATCGATATGTCAAAAATTTTTAAATGATTTTTCAAAATTATATAGATTTGTATATGTTTTATTCGATAACTTTTTTCGATATTTGGACGTGAAAGAGAAAATTCTCTCACGCATGGTAACGGTAACATCAAATGTTATATCCCCATTGCTCGTCAAGAAAAGAATGTGCCTCTTTGAAACTACACACATTCTATTGCCATTGTTATTATTTATTATGCAAATGTTTACAATAATTTGTTTACAATTATATACGATTATTTTGTAGTAATTGCTTTTGCTGCATTCATTTTTAATTTCCTCAACGATAAACCTATGAATATTGTATTTAGACAGAAACCAAATGAATAATGTATAAACAAATAATAAATGCAATAAGTATGCAGGGTATGCGAATAAAAAAATCAAAAAAGGGGCAACACATTTTTAGATATAACGCTTTTTTGACTGGGTTAAGTCATCGGCTAGCTTCTCCAGAAAAGAACAAAGGAGCGTAGGACCGAAATCGAACTAAATCAATCTTAGGGGGAGAAAACAAAAAAGTCTTTTTTGACTGATTAACTCACCGCCTGGCTTCTCCATAGAGGAACACAGAAGTTTAGGTTGACTTAGTTCGATTTCGTCCCTAGGCTCCTTTGTTCTTTTCCGAAGAAGCCAGCCAATAAGGTAGGCCAGTCAGAAAAGCGTATTCTCACCTATTCTCACCTTAAAAATTTTATGTTCCTCTACGTAGAAGCCAGCCTATGACTTAAGTCAGACAAAACAAGCCTTTTATATACTTTCGCCTTTAGGCATTTTTAGCTATTTTTTACCCACTGTACATCTAAGGCACCGACATTATATTGAATTATCCACCAAACGCTATATAATCTCTCTTTGGCGACAAATTTCTTCTTTTACCGGTAGGAAATTTTGTTTTGCTTTTCCGCTTCCATTCAATTTATCAAAGTCTATGTATCCATTCAATGACCCGAAACGTAGACGCAGACATTTGTTTATGGTTTCATTTTTTACGTTTAAATTACGCGGAACCTTTTTATAAATAGAAAAAGATAAGATATTACTGAGGGTATCTCCTCATGAGGTTTTAAAGTCCATTTTTTCCTTTGGTGGTTAGATAAAAAATTTATGAGTTTTCTTGATGGCGTTATATATTACATAAG